AAAGTTGCATCACTCTGTTGTGGCAGCAGTTTTGAGAATTAAAGCTTGGCCATAGGGGGAAGGATCCTAATCTGGAAACACATTCTCCTGCTTCATTTGTTTCTGGTGAAAATAGAATACTAGGCAAGGCTCTTATCTGAAAATAGTTCCCGTGGTAGATAAGACATTGGGCTCATGAACCGTCAGTCTGGCTCATTAATATCCTTGCCCCAGACATTTTTGCACTGAAAATAATCTTGCAGATCCACCTCCGCCCATGATTAGAGCAAATTTGTCCTGATCTGTCCGAGGTTTAGGATCCAAGGTTGGGAGAATGGCACTTCTTAGCATCTGTTGCCAAAAAAGAAAACTAAATGTTTTAGAAAAGATCACAGTGAGGAATTTCCACTCCTGTTTTTATATTGCCAGGAATTGTTTTTTTGTTAATGTAGGGTCAAATTAGATCAATTATTAGAAGCAATGCTCCTTTCTAAGGAAAGGGCTGTCTGTTTATTCTAGCGCGAGCTTGCCTCACTTTATTTTTTGGCAATTTGTAATTTGTCAGTTGAAGAGAGAGCTTGGCTTCATTTGCATGTCAAATGTTTCAGTCCACACTGCGTGCATATGTGAACATGTGCCTGCCCTGGAGCAATAGTACTGTGTGAGGAGGAAGTTGTACACATCCTTTAGAATATAATCTGACTCTAAGACTTACTCTAAAAATCTTTAAATGGGAGACATAACTGTTTTCAAACCGGGGAGGGGGGGGAGGCACTTGTCTTTTCTTACCATTTTTATAATATACACCTCTTAGAATTCTCTTGGTTTATCTGTTTTTATTTAATCCATTATTATTATAATGCCTTTAACCTGCTGTAAACCATCCAGAATAGTGCATTGCACTAATGGGACAATGAATGAATGAATGAATGAATGAATGAATGAATGAATGAATGAATGAATGAATACTGACTCGCTCTCTGACTCCTCCTCTTTATTACATATCTCTTGGCTCCGCCTCTTAGCAACTTTAGCCTGCAACATGAATATGCATGACTACTTCATAATAAGAGTGAACGCTACATACCTCCCCCCTTAAATATGTTTGTTTGGGAAATACATTTTTCCTCCTAAACAAACAAACTTTACTTACCATATAACACAATTCTATAGGCAATATCACATTTAATATAACCATTACTATATCTTATATACTAAACATTTCACTACTATTCAATAATATACTTTGCCTTATCATTTTCAGTTACTACATTTAACCTTTTCAACCATACAGAAATATCACAATCAAGAAACTTTTACATAAATAATCAGCCAGTAAATCATAGTCCATTGCAGTTTGTTTTAGAAGTTCTTGAATCATTCTTCACATTTTTGTCCATCAATATCCAAAAGCCTTGCTGTAATATACTGCATATTCAAATCTTGCTGTGACATAGTCTCTAGACTAATCACTAAATTATCGTAGGACTCTGGCAAGGTACTCAGCACTATATAAACTTTATGATTCTCTGAAAATTCCATATTCCTTTGCTGCAACTCATCAAATAGATTCTTCATTTTCTGTAAGTGATGGGACATGCTTTCTCCATGTTCTAACTTAGCTCAATACAGCTTTCTGGTTAGGGAAACCACTGTTCCTGCTGTGTCCCTAACATATATATTTTTCAAAGTGTCCCAGCATTCTTTAGCTGAAGTTAGTCCCCTCACGTGCGTCAGCTGGCTATCTTCCAAACAAAGTATAATCGTAGACAAAGCTTTCTGTTAGAGTAGATGTGGTCTGTGTTATAGGGCTGCTGGTACTGACTTTGCTGAATAAAAGCTGCTGAGGTAGGCAAACACCACCCTAAGAAAAACGCAAAGTGTGATTGAGGTGAACAATTAAGTTTCTTTATTTATTTTGTTTAAAATATTGTTATCCTGCCTTTCTCCTTAAAAAGGACCCAAGGCAGGTTAGATCAAGTTCCTGGTACACAAGAAAAATTGGGGAAACTGGGACACAGAGCTCCAAAGACTATATGTTAAACTATATGTTTAATGATAAGCAAGTAGAGAAGAGAAAACAAAGGTGTTGTTTGTTGTATAATTATGAACTTTAGTCTCATAATTAATGTCAGGTTTTCCTCGCGGAAATCACGGAATTAGCAGAGTGTAAGGCGGCTCAGGCAGTCCAGCAATAAAACACACGCAGTCCGGCAGCATTTCGTGCAGCATAGTGTATTTACAGCAGTCTACAGCAGCATGGCAGGCATATGTGATCTCCAACCAGGTGAAGAATTTCACATTTTTGTCCATCAATATTCATTTTTTCATCACATTTACAAAGAGAACATTTATTATACATTATCAGCTTGGTTTATTCTCCCCCCCCCCAATCGGGTCATTGGGCTTTCGAGGCACAATCTGAATCTCTTTTGCCAAGTCCATGTTTGTAATGTCCAAGTCTCTCACCTTCCCGTGGTGGTAAGGTGTGCCGTGGACTGGTCTGGTTGTTATCACCTCCTTCAGCTGGTCACAAGACTGCTGGCACTCAGGGGTCCCTCTGTTGATCACTGGCTCCTTCTTTCGCAATCTCTTCCATCGACTGGCAGTCATCGGCCACTCGGTTGTCCACTGGATGTCATCTGCTGGTCGTTTCTTAGTGACGCCTGCTTTAAGGCTGGCTCGGGGCTTCACTTTCTCAGCTGGGGAAAGGGCAGGCAGTTTCCTCTCCTCCTCCCTAACATCTTTCGATGCGTCCCTCTTTTAAGGCATCAGGGCTTACATATTCTTCCTCACTCACACATTCGCTCACAGGTATTTTTATTCTAAATTTTTCCCTATGTGGGGGACCACTATCACGGGTCACTTTAAGACTCTCAGGTGAGTGTCGTTCAAGTGCAGTCATAAACAGTTGGTTTCTTTTAGATGCACTAAGCGTGTGATCTGATTCTACTTCTTCATTCAGTGATACACTAGATAGGGGGCTGCCTTGCAAGGTCTTAAGGTCTGCTGGTTCCACCACTGCCAAAAGCAATTTTCTCCCCTCTATAGTTCTGATACTTGGTCCTCAGGACAAAAATACTCTTTCCTGGGCCTCATACAAGCCTTTCTCTTTCAGGAGTACTTGCAAAGCTTGGCTCTGCCACTTCTGAGGACTTTTTCCTATATAAAAGCTCCTTATCCAAGCAAGACCATTCAGGGCATTCAGGAGATAATAAAATGGGTGTACTGGTGGCTGTTTCAAAGCAACTCACCAAACTGATTTCCTCCTTCTGCTTCTGAGCCAAACTATTTTAATTTGGGGTTTTCATAAGCATAAGATCAGTTTCTAAGAGACTTTCTCCCTCCAGGATACCCTTTGCTACTGTATCCATTTCTGCTGCAGTGGGTGATTCCTGGCCCCCTTGTGAGTGTGCAAGTACAAAAGCACTCGTAACATGCTCTCTCTCAAATGTAAACCCGCTCTATTTGTCAGGTCTTTATCAGTCATGACCCTCTCTGGGTGTTCCGGGGTCTGTGGAATGGGATTTTCTCTAACTTTAGTAGTACAATCCTTTAAAGTACCATCTTCCTTCAGTTCATCGATACAAGAAGGATCATTAGGGTTCTTCAAAATAACCTCATCAGCCATTTTGGTTACTCTCTGTCCCTCTCTGACTCTTACTCTTACTGACTGACTGACTCTCTGCCTCTGCCTCTTTATTACATATCTCTCAACACCGCCTCTTAGCAACCTTAGCCTGCAACATGAATATGCATGACTACTTCATAATAAGGATGAACACTACAGTGGTCTCTCTTAAAGTGACCCTTCCATTCATGGAGGAATTGGTCCAGCCTGGACCCCCCAAAAAGAACAGCCCTGCTTATATAACAAAAAGGTCCAGCCTGGGCATGAACTTGGATCAAACTGTTTGGGGATCATATCTACATCATGTGACCTCCACAAAATAGCTTGCATTGAGCCATGTCACAAGCAGTTCAAAATGAGCTGTTTCTCTGTCTGATTGCACCTTGAGGTGCACTCAGTGACTTCCAGATCTTTTGATATATTCCCCATAGCATACCTGTACCAGCCACCACCATGCTATAGTAAGCTGGGTCCTGTTTTCAAAAGCAGGATCTATGGGTACAAAAGTGCAGAGAAGCGTTCTTCATCAATATCAACATCACCAGAGTGTATGTTTGTCAATGAGGTCCTACCTGTGTTTGTTTGGTCATACTGAGTCTTCCACAACCTGTATTCTAGTCATCTCTTTCTTAGATTTCTATTCTATGTATGATTCTAGGAAATTATACCCATATCTCATTGCCCTCAGCTACTGGGAAAACCAAGCTGCTCAGTAAGCTTTGAATAGGAAGGAAGGGCACTGAGGAGCTACTGTGTTAAGAAGCTGAATAATCTGAATGATTTCCATATCCATAAAGTATGATAATATAGTTAGCATCAATAGTACGCTAACTGTATTAACTAGAAATTTTCCTTGAGTTATCAGATTTTATCAGGCTTAAAGGGTTGGCAACCCATCTCAGTAGTGTTCTTTATCTCCACAAAGGGAGCTTTACATTTACACTGGGATAGGCAACTCTGGAAGCAGCTTCAGCATCCAGTTTTCTATCTTCAGGTCGCAGGGGGCTTCATGTGGCCCATGAGCCATACCTGGCCTAAACCGCAGGAGGATGCTCTTTGATCCCCATGTCGGAGTCAATGAAACACTACACTCTCAAAGACTCTGATCTTCTTGCTCTATTGAAAACACCACACTAAAAATATGATCATCCCTGTGTATTAGCTGATGACACATTGGGACCACCCTACCAGTTTCCATGGTGGCCATGAATTTCTAAGCAACAGCAGACAAAGCAGCCTCAGCACAGATGACAAGCTGCCTTAGCAATAGCCCTGGCAAGTACTGTAATCAACTACTGGAGACCAGTTCTGTCACTTCTGTTGATTCAGGCAGGGAGTTTGCTAAGCAGCCATATAGTCACTACTCTGACAGAAATCCCAGTGTGTGTCTGTTGCTGAATATCAGGAACATTCACTCAAAACTGTATCCAGACCAGAAAGGAATCCTCAAAAAAAGAGGTAAATGCCCTACAGAGACTATGAATGCAGATGAGCAGAGCAGGACTAAGAACAGCTCCTAGCTTGTATAGCCAGGTTTTTATAGTCCTTTGGCTAGCATCTATGTTTGTAAGAATATAATAGAGAAAGAATATGACACTGAGATTGACATATACCTTTGAAAAATGATATTTGAGTTGTGTTCTGTTATTCAAATCTCCCTGACAACTCAACCCCAAGTTTGATCTTTGTCCTAAGAAGTGATTCATGTTTATGTCCTTAAAGTTTACACAGATGGTCACTACGGTGTGAGTATTGAACAATCTGAATTTTGTCCAGAATAAATTGTTTTGTAATGTGCTTTTCTCCAGCACTGTCTTTTCCGTACATGTTTGCCACATTGCTGGAATAAGCTGCTTTTGTTGATTAAGCTCCCTAAATCCCAGGTTAAATCCTATCAGAAGGATCATCTTCTGGGATGTGCTTTTAATGTTTGTTAACCCTGTTTTTCCATCGTTTTCTTTATTCATTGTAAGAGGTATTGTAGGCATCTTTGCATTTTTTTCTATCATAAACAAATCTTAAAGTTGTAGTCTTCTGTACACTTCCATGGCAAAAAGCCTGATGACCTTTCCTGTTTTCTTAACTTCAGAGGAAACAGGGAAAAGACCAGTTAACATGATTTATAGCTAACAAATGCAATTTGGATTTACAGTAAAGCCCACCTTTTCCTTAGGCCTCCATTCCACATTTGATTCTAGGAAATTATACCAATGGATATATTATAATTGTGATTCAAAAAGACAAGTTAAACAAGAGATATGTTTCATCTGTGCTCTATTTGTTATTAGTGTTTTCATTTCATCTCTCCATTGAAACCTCTAGCCCCAAATCTAATTTCTACCTTTCCTTGTAGCATAATGCATGGAATTTTTTTCTTAACTCTCAGTGTTCTCTACTCTTCTTCCCTTCTTCCAAAGACATACTGTATGTCTCACAGGAAAAAGCAGCAGGTAGCTGACTGTAGCCTTCTCTCTGAAGGTGACGTGCTTTACATCCGTGCCTGTGTACCATGGGTGATGTGACTGATATGTGTTTCTTTTCCAATGTGTGTTCCACTTGCCTATAAAGTAGGGGACTCAGGAATCCCTAAGGTAAAAAGATAAAGATATACAGGAGCCTTCTCATCTTTGGCAGACCAAATTCACCTGCCTTTCTCCCTTTCAATACCAAAGTCAGGAGGAGAGAAAGTCTCTGGAGCAACCACATCCATGCGTGCAAAATGTGGAAAGAAACAATGTCCTGCTAGACCCTTTCTCATGTCCTGATCTGTGGTATATTGTCTGTTTGTATATGTTTGTCTTTTTCCTGTAAGGGGGAAAGAATGGAGGAAGGGAAATGTTATATATAATGGTCAAAGTGACCGTCTGCATTAGAGAGGCTCAGGTTCAAATCCCCACTCAAACATGCACCCTGCTACTTGATCTCCTGGGCGTGCCACCTTGCCTCACAGAGTTGTTGTTCAGTTCAAATGGAGTCAAATTATGTACGCTTCCTTGCGCCTTGGGGGGCAAAGTGTTCTACAAATGTAATTTGAAAATATGCAATGTTCATAGTCATGTACATTAATCCACTTTGAGCTTTTCTGCATATGTCTAGTTTAATTTTCTTTCTCTTCTGGATGCCATTCTTAACATCTGACATTGCCTTGTGTGGATAGCATGGCTCAGAGTTTGACTTTGATTCACTATATGGAATACTGTAATTTATGAAATGTTACATGTGCACATATGAGACAGCAGCAAGGCGATGCCAAGATCAAAGACAGTACTAACAGACGGATCTTAAGCAAAGATAACAACATTGTCCATGGATCCCCATGCTAGGAGTTTTGGCAGACTCTTTGAAATTAGGTATTGCATTGTTCTTGTTTTCAGGAAAAAAATGCTCATCATCCATCAGATATCGACATTCAGAATCACCAAGGGTTCTACATAATTCATTTGATTATTTTAACCAGGGTCTGACATGAAACATCTTTTATTTAATTATCTCCTTGCAAACAATATTTCAAGGCCAGATTGCATTTCGCAGGCATAATTGTGTGATATCTTTTTCAAAGGAAGAGTAATTGAAATGAGTTGATATGTGACTGATCCAACCATTATTGAAGTCAATACGAATCTTTCTTGTGGGATATTGGAAACCTGCTTACATTTCAGTGCTACATGTGAGCAATGAAGGGGAGGGAGTGACTTATTCTGGGGAGACAGACTGACCCTAATTTCACACATGTTTCTGCTACCTTTCTTTTGTAAGAAAATGTTTCTTCAGTTATATCTGTTTTGAACTACAGCCATGGTATCTTCATGGGTCAATCAAGCTGTCTTGAATAAGAAAGGTAAAGGTTTAGAAATGTTAGTAAAAAGGAAAAATTCCAAGGTGAGTGTCTTCCAGTGAGTGCAAGATACTGAAATGATAAACTCTGATTGTGGAGATTTTGCATTTTAATTTCCTGCACTACTGAGAGAAATTTCAGTTAGCTTGTGTGGGTCGGTGTTTTTATAGGAAACCCTGGACATAAGTATTGATCTTTCTTGTTCTAGTTTTGTGCTAGTCTTCTAGCCTTTCCCCCCAAACAGTGTTAACAATTTGTATGCACACTACAATGAGTTGTGATCAGAACAAAGGAATAGAATACAAGTCAACAGTCAGCCATGAGAGAAATCCTTTTGCAAGGCAATGAATGTAACAAATGCAAGGATTGCTCTACAACCTGAATATTATGGTCTGGCCTGATAGACTCAAAGTTGCATCACTCTGTTGTGGCAGCAGTTTTGAGAATTAAAGCTTGGCCATAGGGGGAAGGATCCTAATCTGGAAACACATTCTCCTGCTTCATTTGTTTCTGGTGAAAATAGAATACTAGGCAAGGGTCTTATCTGAAAATAGTTCCCGTGGTAGATAAGACATTGGGCTCATGAACCGTCAGTCTGGCTCATTAATATCCTTGCCCCAGACATTTTTGCACTGAAAATAATCTTGCAGATCCACCTCCGACCATGATTAGAGCAAATTTGTCCTGATCTGTCCGAGGTTTAGGATCCAAGTTTGGGAGAATGGCACTTCTTAGCATCTGTTGCCAAAAAAGAAAACTAAATGTTTTAGAAAAGATCACAGTGAGGAATTTCCACTCCTGTTTTTATATTGCCAGGAATTGTTTTTTTGTTAATGTAGGGTCAAATTAGATCAATTATTAGAAGCAATGCTCCTTTCTAAGGAAAGGGCTGTCTGTTTATTCTAGCGCGAGCTTGCCTCACTTTATTTTTTGGCAATTTGTAATTTGTCAGTTGAAGAGAGAGCTTGGCTTCATTTGCATGTCAAATGTTTCAGTCCACACTGCGTGCATATGTGAACATGTGCCTGCCCTGGAGCAATAGTACTGTGTGAGGAGGAAGTTGTACACATCCTTTAGAATATAATCTGACTCTAAGACTTACTCTAAAAATCTTTAAATGGGAGACATAACTGTTTTCAAACCGGGGAGGGGGGGGAGGCACTTGTCTTTTCTTACCATTTTTATAATATACACCTCTTAGAATTCTCTTGGTTTATCTGTTTTTATTTAATCCATTATTATTATAATGCCTTTAACCTGCTGTAAACCATCCAGAATAGTGCATTGCACTAATGGGACAATGAATGAATGAATGAATGAATGAATGAATGAATGAATGAATGAATGAATGAATTATACCAAATGCAACACTTTCTCATCAAATGGCTAGGATCTGGCAGCTGTATGGTACTTTCTCACTGTAGGCCATGACAATGCTCCCAAGAGAGCAAGAGCAGCCCCATGCCCAGTTTTGGAGAACAGTGTTGACATGAAAACTGGCTACCAATACCAATGACTACTCACTCAGACAACCTTAATGACTGGACCCACATAAGTATGTATTCTTTCCTCCAGTTATGTACTAACTGGTGTGCAAGGTGTTAATATTCAATATTCTTGGCATTCTCAGCAAAGGTTTAGAACATCCCTCTGGAAAGTGTATTTCTATTGATATGCAGATAAGCCTGTGTATTTCAGATACGTTATCAAGGTTAATTAGAAAAATTATCTAATTGAAGCAATTCCCCGCCCCCCACAACTCCCAAAATCAGGTATGTCAAATCTCTCTTCCTGAAACATGCTAATCTTCCCTGGCTCTGTTTCAAGTGTGACTGTGATCCATCAAAGTCACTTCCTTCCGCCTTCCCTGGAGAGTGTCAGAAGTTTCGCCAAGCTTGGCAGTCTCTGCCTTGTTCCTGCTGCCTTAAAAGACAACAAGGATTCCAGGAAGTCCCAACAGTGGCATGACTAAGGCTTAGGCTCACAGACACAAGAGTAGTGGGAGGAATAAATAACCAGTATCGCATGCTAATTTGTAAACCTATGCTAGTTGGAAAGAGCAAATTACATAGTTAACTGTGTGTAGGCTGTGTTGATACAAGCAACATCTACAGTGTCACGGAAATCGCCAACAACCACTCATAAGGCCTGTGTGTTGGTTAGGGCATCATTTTGGGAGTTATGCTTACATTCTGAATGTTTGCACATAAACCTATAACAATGTTTTTCTTCCCTAGAGCCCCTCAGCCATTGACTTTCTATCACCAGACTCAGCTCAGAGAAAACAGAGAGGAAAAGAGCCCAAACAAATTTGGCAGGGAAGATCTAAGGGCTGTGAGGGACTGGAGTGAGATAGCTTTGTGTTTCATTTCCTATCCTCCAGCTCAGAAAGAAATGTTGTTTGATCAGGACCTCAACCGTTCCCACAAAGTGAGACAGCCATTGGAACAATACCTCTCAAAAGAAACAAACACCCCTCAGGAACCTAGGAGAAGAGTCTGCTGTGGAATCATACATTTATCACCTAAATGGCTTGGGCCCTGGATACCTGAAGGACCGCCTCCTTCCATATGAACCTACCCGGCAGTTAAGATCTAACCAGGGGGCCCTTTTGAAAGAGCCATCCCTCAAGGAGGTAAGAGGGATGGCTTGTAGAGAAAGGGCCTTTTCGGCAGCTGCCCCAAGACTATGGAATGCCCTCCTGACTGAGATTTGTCTGGCGCTGATGCTGATGACATTTCGGTGCCAGGTCAAAACCTTTCTGTTCCAAAAGGCTTTTAGTTGAAATAATATCAGCTATGGGTCTCATGGCAATTTTTAGAGTAGATATTTTTAATTGCATTTTAATTATTTTGCCCTTTTATTTTGCCTTTTTATTGTATTTTAAATGTTGTAAGCCGCCCAAAGACCTTTGGGTAGTGTGGGTGGCATATAAGTTAAATAAATAAATAAATTAAATAAATAAATAAATAAATAAATGTATCCTGTTTCACTTTCCATTTCCATGACGTGGTAAACTGTAGGCAAAATTCTGTTGATGTAATTACATCAGTGTAAACCAGATCCAGGCACTGGAAATAAATGATTAATTTCTCCCCCCCCTTTTTTTTTTCTCAGGTATTGAGGCTCCCTAGGATTCCCTTGTGCTCTTGTGAAGTCTTGGGAGTTGTGGGACAGGAGGAAGAGCCTTTAATTGCCAAACATTGCCCCTGGATCTCCAGTGCTGGGATCAGGACTGCTGATGGTGATCTGGCAGCAATTTTTGAAGATTGCAGACTTCCTCAAAATGCACCACATTCAGGCTCCCAAAGGGTTCCCCAGTATAAAAGGTAACTCTGGGATACCTTGGAATCTTAAAGGGAGGGACAGAAAGGATTTGATTGATTTGTGTACTGGTTATAACACATTGATTTACTTTTGGGTTATGCCAGCTGAGCCTCCTCCTCCCATTGGTGGCCCAAGAATGTCTTCTACATAATAGAAAATGAGTTTTCCTGTTGACAAAGTAGCAACATTTACCAGTCTCACTGAGTAGATCACAGAAAGGAATGATCAGTAAAATCTGATGAAAAAGCTTTATAAAAATGGGAGTCAGAAATGTTAGGTTCAGAACTCAGAAATGTTCTGTTTTGGACTGCAGCTCTCAGATTTACCCAGACAGAATGGAAGAAGAAGATTTGGTCAGGTTCAGATGCTTTATATGACAGTTATTTGGTTATTAAATGTATCAGACGGGGCAGATTTTACCCTCTTATCTGTTCAGTCTGTACACAGAACGTATCATATGGAAAACTGCATTAGATTCAGATGAAGGAGAAATGAACATTGGTGGGATAAACACCAATAATTGAATATGTGCAGATAATACCATTTTACTAGCAGAAAGCAGCAATGACTTAAAATGACTTCTAGTGAAAGTGAAATAAGAAAGTGCCAAAGCAAGACAGTACCCGAACATTAAGAAGACAAAAACCATAAGTACTGAAGAACTATACAACTTTGATATTGACAGTGAAGAAACTGAATTGTAAAGATTTTGTATAGCTTGGTTCAATGAATGACCAATTGGAGCCTGCAGCCAATAAATCAAATAACTGAGATTTGGAAGGGTAGCAATGAAGGAATTAAAAAAGAACATCAGGTATAAGGTGTCACTGGAGACCAAGATCAAGATCATCCACACTCTTGTATTCCCGATCACTATGTATGGGTTTAAAAGCCGGGCAATACAGAAACCTGAAAGAAAAAAAATGTTCAGTTAAAATAAAGACCTTGAGTGGATCTTTATGGATCCCCTGGACTGCTAGAAAGACAAACAAGTGAGTCCTAGAGCAAATCAAACCTAGATGATCTTTGGGTGAAAAATATTGACGCTGAGACTGTCCTACTTTGGGCATATAATCAGAAGGCAAGATTTTCTGAAAAAGGCAATAATGCTCGGAAAACATGAAGATAGCAGGAAAAGAGGAAGACCAAATATGAAATAGATTGACTCCCTAAACAAATCACAGGCTTGAGTTTCCATGATATGAGGAGGGCTATTGAGATCAGGGCATTTTGGACTTTGCTCATTGATAGGATTGCCATAAATCAGAGGTGACTTGAAAGGATGTAACAACAACAACAGGTACATCATAAAGGTTTATTCAAAAGCCCCATTACGGCCAATTAATCTTACTGCCTCTTCCATCTGTTACAATTTAAGAGATTATATTCAAAATCAGAGATATTCACTGAAAGAGATATGGTATTATCTTGCAGTGCAATTATGCCTACTCAGAAGCAAGTTCAATCACATTCTGTTGGCTTTGCTCCCAGGTAAATGTATCTATGAAGCTGCCTAGAGCCCAAGACTTCCAGGATCCCTGCCTAGAGGAGGACAAGGTAGAAGCCAGATGGGTAGGTGGGTGGGTAGGTAGATGTGTGTGTGTGTATTTAGTATTGCAGCCTATGGCTATGTTGAATATGTGATCTAAGAAAAAAAAAGGGTTTTCTTGAATTTCACCTTATCATGTCATGGTTATGAGTCCCCTGTAGGTTGTAAGAATAATCCACATTAGTAATTTCACTTAGTATTGTGATTTGGTGCTTATGGATCTTTCTACATTAATGAAAATGTACAGGACTATGTTAGAATGCCAGTCTATGCTTTCCATATGATAACGTACTCGTTCACGTCTCTTGTGCTCAAGACCTTACCTTGTAGGCTTTGCCCCATGAGAGAAATCTCTTCATTGCTTGCCAGGCAGGCAGAAGGGAAGATATACTTCCTCATCTCCAGCGCTCCTTCCCATTGCTCAGCAGTGCTGTCCTTTTGACTTCCACGTAGAAAGAAAGGGATTTGCACTCTTTCTATTTCCTTCCAGAGAAATAAAGCAGGGATTATGTGCGTAGCTTTTGTTTTCTTTCAATTTGGCCTGTTCAATGAATCTTGTCCTCTGTGTGATCTCTGACTACTGAAGCAGGGTGCCTCAAGGATGCTGGCAAAGTGAACTCTGAAGTGCCATCTTGAGATCAGAAAGCAACAAAACTGTCATCTGCTGAAAACTATTTTTGTATTTTGCTGGAGGGGACCATCCTAAATAAAGAAGGGTGGGGAGGGGGGAATTATGTATGTGGTCTTTTGTTTTTTCCACCTCCATCATGTCTTCTTAGAAGTCACCTGTCCTGCTGCAGCACTACTGTGGGAGCAGGAGACAGAGCAAATTACTGTAGTCTCCGATGCATGGAATGAAATACCATTTTAGCCCAGCGTTTCTGTTACAGCTGCCAGTTTGCAACAAGACATGGGAGAGGGAAGGGGAGGAAGACCCAGCAATATCACTTCCGCTGAGGGTAACATAAAGATAATAAATTGCAGGAATCTTTCATACTGTTAGGCTGCATTTGGGAGCAAAGTGTGTCCTTTGTATTCAAGCTGATTTCTTTGCTGGGACGGATATACATCTATCATTACAGCAATATCTCTACTCACCAGAACCTTTCCTGTTTCCTCCCTTGCAAGCAATAGTTCTGGGACTTAGGGAATAATACTATCTCCATCTCACCAGTGGAGAAGTAAGAGTTAGCAAGAGATCAGCTAATTTCCCTGAGGCTATACAAGAGATATTCTTGCCCTTTTTATGGCCTGGACACGCCAATGCTAAAATAGCATGAACGATACACCTACAATCTATTTAACCCTTCTGTCCCCATATGGGTCCAAGAAAGGAAGCTGCTTACTTCACTGGAAAATGTGGAGGTATTAGTTCAGGGCTCTCTCTTGTGTGACCTGTCCAGATGCACATTCTGTTTTGTTTTCTTATTTATTAAGACAGCTAAGGAAGCTGCTTTTAGCCAAGGCATGGGGAGGGGACAGCCAAATGCTCTATTGAGGGGTGGACAATCTGCATCCAAAGGCCTTGTATCATGTAGTCCTGTGGTTGTTCAGACCTTTGCAAGAGTAGTCTGTCTCTTTCCCAGTGTTCTGATAGGTTGAAAAGAACAGTAGAAGGGCAGGGAAAGGAGGTGACACAGAGATGGGAGAGGGAGGAGTTGGCTTGCCTGCTGTGGGCTTCTGCCTCTTCACTTGTTGGCTTTGTCCTTACCGAAGTGGCATCTATTACCCCTGTGAGAATGCAGAACATAAAGAACATTAAAGAACATACAGTAAAGAACACTGTTCAGCGCTGCTCTCTTGCAATGGCGCAAACCCTTTGAAGGCCATGTCTTTGCAGCATGAATCCCACCATGTAGTATGGTGCCGTGCAGTAAGTTGGAGCAGGCTGCTTCCAGCACTGGAAAGCAGGGGCGACTAACAAAAGGCATAAAATTGGTGTCTGGATGGTCCATTTAGACTCTGAAGAACACAGGATGAAGGACTACTTAAGGCTCTGCTTTAGGCAGCAAAAGTCCAGAGCTGGCCTTGACAATGGGCCAGTAACCAAGATGTCAATCATTTTTTCTCCAGTGCTATCTTCTGCCCTCCACAAAGGACTACAGCTACCACAACACACTATGTCCAGGTCCAATGACAATGAACTATTCAGCAGTCATATCAAAGTTTTCTAGGAGCCCTTCTGGAGTAGTCACAGAATACCAGTCAGGAGTTACACACTGGCCAGAGTAAGGAAATTGTTCTGTGCACTTCTGGGCTACAGTGTGCCTTCTTTTCCTGTGTCTGTGACACAAACTATTTCCTTTTCATTAACTCCCCATAGGGACTACTTTTTCCTTCTGAGTCCCAAAATGGCCTCCCTAGGTGTATGCACAGTTTTCAAGAAGAATCTATCCGTTTCATCAGAATGTGTTTGTTTTGTAATACAGTGATTTCTGTTGTCCCCGAAGAGCAGTTAACAAGATGTCAATTAATCATGCAAATGAGAAGGAACAGATTTTTGAGTTGATTATGCTACCTGGAGCTAAACTGTGTGGCTGCCAGATGCTAGTTCTTTCTGTAAGGCATGCTTCTTTGAAATCTTTGCAACCTGTGAGTGAACAATGTGCCCCACAGCAAACTGTTTACATGCTTGGATCCCTTTGAGGGAAAATCAGAAGAGACATTGCTTTCTTCCTTTCTTCTTTGTCATTTTCACAAGGGTTTGGACACTTCACTTATCTTTGAAGCCTGCTACGTTTGTGCTGTAGCAGGCAGGGGGACTAAGGTACGTACAGGCAGTTCTTCGGGATGGGAAGAAACAAGGGCCATAGCTCCTGGGGAAGCACATGCTTTGTGCAGAGAAGATCCCTGAGGCCTTATCCTCCACATCTCCGGTTCAAGGATGTCATGTAACAGGTCTGACACATAGCACTGCATCAGAGCTACTAACAGGATGAGTAGATAATTATGGCCTAGGCTAGATGGACCAATTGAGTGGTTTGGTATAAGGCAGTGTCATAGATTTTAAAGAAAAGGGTCATAAATAACTCCTTTATGGACCCAAAAAAGAGGCTTTGCTTTTATATATTGGCATGTAGCTAAAAAAGCTACCCTTTGACAACAGAACCTGCTAGGCTGGCGGTGTGAAATAGTCATGCCCAGCAATAGATTTTGGGTGTCATGGAAGGGCAGAAAATTCAGATTGTCAGTTAGCTTTTTTATTATAGCATTTTTATTATCAGGGGGTGGAGAGAGGCACTTCTGCCTCTTGTGCCAAGATAACATGGCAGGATTTGTATTTGTGGGAAGGGCGCCATTAGCTGCCGTAGCTCAAGCAGCAAAATGTCTTGTGCTAACTCTGCATATCAAATAACTAGCTGGCATTGAGTAATCCTTCTAAAATTTTACAATATTGAATCAGAACAATGGTTCAAAGTGGTTCCTAAATTACAGAGGGGCAGAGGGAAGGTGGCCCACAATCTGTTGCGGTGGCTTCCTACTCACAGTTTTTGCAAAGCAAATGGGACATGCTTTAGTTGAAACGTGGAGGGCCATGAGTAGTGGTTATGAATTTCTTTAAAGGCCTCCTTAGTATTCCCTTCATAGTTCGGGCACCTTGTCCAGCATGTAATGATTCACTGCCATTTCAGGCAACCAGCATTTCTCTTAGGTGAAGACAAAGATCTTGGGCCTACTACCAGATACTAGAAGTTGTATCATTCATTGTTTTGATAAAGTAGTGTGGCACAAATCATTGCTAAATGATCCCGTTTAAATCTTTATATTCCATTGTCTCCCCAGTGTGAACTTCTCTTGCAAGTTGACATTCAATCAACGTAAAAGCCTGGTTGCTTTTGCTTTGCTTCCTTTCTTTGTATACATGCTTTACTTATTCCAGCAGCTAAACTTGTATTTATAGACAGAGAAAACAATATGGGAGGTACGTCTGTATGCATGAATGTGTCTGGGTGTATATGCCAGATGTTTGCATATATCTAGGGCTGGTAACTCAGCCACCTTGGATCTCAATGAAGAGATGAACAAGGAGAGAATATGTTTCATACTGCATTAAAAAAGTAACTAAATTTGTGTTGCTTCTAATAAATATGAAAGCAAATATTTATTTATAAACTTTTGTAACTTCTAACCAACTACCTTGGGATGCATTGGACTATAATAATTACTATCAGTCTTTATTTACAGTCTAAGAAAGACCTAATAGAGCAATGTATTGGTTTTACCGAATTCTATAATAGTGTTTTAGTATAGAATTCGGTAAAACCAATACACTGCTCTATTAGGTCTTTCTTAGCCCCTTGATAGAAAAGAAAATGCAAAATAGATTCCACTTTAGCATTGTTAAAAGGGCAGTATCTGAAATTCATTGGCATTTTATTGTAAATAAATTGGAAGAGACAATGTCAAACCCTGCCAGAGAAAAAAGCTTTTCTATATTTAGGAGCAGTTAACCAACCTAAATAGGGCATTTCATCTTTACAGGGAAGACATGATATCCCCAAGAGGAAGTGGGGAAGATCCTGTCACAGCTCCTTATTAATTCTTCACTCTCCTCCGTTTAAGTTGTCTCCATTTAGCAGGACAGCTTGCTGGGGATTTTGAAAGCCCCACAATATTCCTTAGTTGTAGCTGAGAGCAAGAAAAGGACCTTTTCACCCAGGAAGATCCCTATAATTTGTGCAAAATATATCTGTGCAAAGCTAGTCACCCTTTGAGGAATAAAGAGTGTGTTTGTCCATTGTGCATGCATGTACACACAGAGAGAATAAGCACAGAAGTGGTTGTTAAGAAATAAACAAGCAACCCATTCAGTGCTTCACATTCTTAAAAACCATGAAAGAAAGCAGCAGTCATCCTAAATCTACAAAATTGTACAATTTAAGAAAATATGCCGTTTTTGCAAATTTGCAGTGTTGCACAAATTGTGTGATTCCCCTTCTCCTCCTAAAAATGGACTGATTTGAACAAAACATAGTTCCTGCAGCTACAAAACCAAGAACACCTGAACATTCTTTGCC